ATTATTATTATTATTATTATTATTACACACACACACACACACACACACACACACACACACACACACACACACACACACACGAGTCAAATTAATTCCTTAAGAGGAGTCGAGAAGTGAACGATATCCAGAGCTCACCTGAACAATAACCTCGTTAGAACAACCTTGTTTTTCTCCAATTAAATCCGCTATTTTGATAACGAAAAAAAAATGGTCCTACATATAATAAATATTTTTAAGGGCATATTTTGGTAATTAAAAAAAGGTGTACACGAACTATGGAGATGTTAAACGAACCATTTCATTTGATAGACCAACAGTAGCATGAGTAACGACCAGTCATTATTATTGTTGTAGGAAATCAGTTATAGTGTGTGTGTGTGTGTGTGTGTGTGTGTGTGTGTGTGTGTGTGTGTGTGTGTGTGTGTTAAGTTAGGTTAGGATAACGTTAATGGTCTGGTGTTTATTCATCAGTTAAAACAAGTGACAGGCTGCCTTAACCAGAAGCATCCTCCTCTTATTATTAAAATATCACAATTAACCTACAAACTCTTAAGGGCATTATGGACAAAATTCCAAAATGGTCTTATAGAGTAAAAATAATTATACTCGAGATCCATCATGAGGGTCCCAGGGCCTCATTCCTCAACTGGGTGATCGATCGGGGGCAGTAAATGTTAACCCCGTCTCTAACACCCCCCGTGGCTTAACACTTTATTGCCTCGTACTTCTCAATTTTCACCGATGGTTGTCTAGTGCTGAAGCGAAGACCTGAGAGAGAGAAAAAAATTATGGATGGATGGATGGATGGATGGATGCTGGATGGATGGGTGGAATTGGGTGGATGGATGGATGGATGGGTGGATGGATGGATGGATGGATGGGTGGGTGGATGGGTGGGTGGATGGGTGGATGGATGGGTGGATGGATGGGTGGATGGATGGATGGGTGGATGGATGGATGGATCAAATAGCTTTAGGGCCTGGAAACACCTTCGTCTGCTGTAAGTTCTCTCGTGTGAGTTGTGTGTAAAAAGAAAAAAAATGAGAACTGTGTCAGAGGTGAAGGTGACGTATACCACTTAATACTCAACACTTAACACTTAATGCTCAACACTTAACGCCAATGCTCAACACTTAAAAGCACTTTTGTCCTCCCCACACACACTGGACAACCACCAATAATATGACTGATGGCCAAAAATAATACAAAGTCACTCTGATGAAGGCGGTTCGAATTTCTTCTGACAGCTGATAATCGGAAGGCAATTAAGTTCGCCTCTTCGTATTGCATCCCCTCATTAATTTCCTCATCGCGTCCTCTCTCTCTCTCTCTCTCTCTCTCTCTCTCTCTCTCTCTCTCTCTCTCTTTCTCTCTCTCATTTCTTTCTATTTTAAAGTAGTCGTCTCGAGCAACACCACGGCACATCTGCCTTCGTAAATAGAGCTCGTGATCGAAGTAGAAGATTGGTGAAGGAAGTGAGGATGATTGGTGAAGGAAGTGAGGATGATTGAAGGAAGTGGAGGAAGATTGGTGAAGGAAGTGAGGATGATTGGTGAAGGAAGTGAGGAAGATTGGTGAAGGAAGTGAGGATGATTGGTGAAGGAAGTGAGGATGATTGGCGAAGGAAGTGAAGAAGTTTGGTGAATGAAACATGAAAACAATGAAGGACTTTGTGTGTAAATTCTTGAAAATCAAAATAAACCTCGTACAAACAAACAAAAAAGATGCAAAAAAATATAAATATCTGAGTTAATATTCGTGTAAATGAGTCATCCACTTAATGATTTACAATTTACAGTATAGTTGTTTGTAAATATCAACGACGTAAACAAAACAAAACGCTCGGGTGTTGCTGATAGTATTTACACATCTACCACACATGTAAACAAGCCGCTTATTTCGTCATTCTCTACGTGTGTTTACATACATACATACATACATACATACATACATACATACATATAAACCCTTTTACTCCACTGCACCTCCCCCCCCCTACCCACTCCTTCCCCTCACCCTGTGGCACCGTCCTAATTAGCTTCTACTATTCTTCCTCCTCCTCCTCTTCCTCCTCCTCCTCTTCCTCCTCCTCCTCTTCCTCCTCCTCCTCCTCTTCTTCCTCCTCTATGTCGTCCTTCAACTCCAAGTCTTTTTTCCTTCATTTTTCGATTACGTAACCTCATCTTCCTTCTCCTCCTCCTTATCTTATTCTTCCTCCTCTTCCTCCTTCGTCCACCCACCCTTTCATCTTCCTTCTCCTCCTCTTCATTCTCTTACTCATTCCAAAATTCTTCCTCATCTTCCTCCTCCGATCACCCACCCTTTCCTCCTCTTCCTATTTCGACTATCCTCCATCCATCCATCCATTCATCCATCCATCCATCCTCCTCCTGACGCACGAATAATAATAAAAGAATATCAATAATAACAACAAAAGCAACAACTATTATTATTTATCGCATCGAATTTATTCCCATTTAGTCGTGACAAGTCGCCGTGAAAATTAATCCCATCCAAATTCCTATGAACACACAATAACTATTAAAAGCTTCTGTACCAAAGAAAATAATAATAAAATATTAATAAAAACATAAAATAAAAGTACCAATAATACACTATAACTATTACTAATTATACTTATTATATCGGCAATATAGATTATAGTACCAGTCTAATTTATTCGTTCATATAACCACTAAGATTTTTTCATATCTCTATTTACTCTATCTCATTGTTATATCTTAAATTTTACATCTATAATTAAAATTAATAATTTTATTTACATCTATAATTTAAATTGAGTTTTTATTTACATCTATAATTCAAATTGTATGTATGTATGTATGTATGTATGTATGTATGTATGTATGTATGTATGTATGTATATGTATGTATATATGAATGTATGTATATGTATTATGTGCGCTTGCTTTGCTTTATCCACTTAATAGAGATTCACTTTGACAGGCTGTGAACTTGAAGATGCAAATATCATGCAAAGTGGCCACCTGATCCAGCCACTAGTGTTACGGACCCGTCACCACTCATCCTTCCCTTCCTCTTCCTTCAAGGCATTTCTGTGTCCCTCGCTGTTTTATCGTCTTATTTTTCTCTCTTGAAGATTCCACCGTCGTCCCCTGAGAGAGAGAGAGAGAGAGAGAGAGAGAGTGTGTGTGTGTGTGTGTGTGTGTGTGTGTGTGTGTGAGAGAACATGTATGTACTGTATGTATGTATGTACTGTATGTATGTATGTATGTATGTATGTATGTATGTATGTATGTATGTATGTATGTATGTATGTACGCATAATCCACCATAACACACGAACACTCATCAAATAATTTAAAGGTTTATGACACTTCACATCTAATTATCTCTCTCGTTACGTTATGTCCTTGTTATCTTTAGCCTCAGTTATCATGTTCCCTTTTAACTTGGTCATGTTATCTGCTTATCACTTAATTATCTTATCATGTTAATAAACTTTAGCATAACGGTCCCAGTGTGTTATATTAGTTACGTTGTTGAGCAGTTATGTTAATATTTGTTGATTATGTTAATTTGGTTAATGTGAATTATATAAACGTGATCTAACACCTACCTTTCTCTCTCTCTCTCTCTCCTTTCCTTCTCTCCCTCTCCCGTCCTTCTCATGTCCCCATCCCCTCCTCATCTCCCTTACATTCCCACCCCCCTTACCTCCCTTCCCATCTCCCTTTCCCCTCCTATCCTCTCCCCTCCCTTCCTTCCTCCCTTTCCTGTGTGTCTCACCCTCGCCATTATATGAGACTTAGAGACAGGCTACTTGAGGGGTAGGTTAGGTTCCTGGCCTCCGTCAAGAGATTTCATGGTCGACGTACTTGAAAGGGTCGGCCGCCTCGGGCACTATAGGAGGCTCCAGGTGGCGTGTGATGTAAGCATCCCGACCCAACGTAATTATAAGATCGGTCAGACAGACACACACATCTAACACCGTATGCGTAAATGCGTATTAGGTCTTACGCATAATCCCATCTGTGTATATTTACCTGTATGTATGGAGGTAATTATGCAAGAATAAATATGTTAATGACGAGGAACTACTGTACATGCAGACAGGCTCTTCGATAAACAGGGTAATTTTTTTTTCTCGAGAAACAGGAATCTAAAAATCAGATTATTCTTACTTTATTTTTTTAAGTTCCAGTTCATTTCACTTTTTAAAATATGGTAATCATGAAGGTTTCTCGTATAAGACACTGGTCCTGTTCATACTCCAATCGACACTACAGTTGAACACAAAGCTTATCATCATGACTTGTATATCACACACACACACACACACCCACACACACACACCCACACACACACACACACATATACGAGTATGTAATAACGGAGGTATCTAATTAAACACAAATCAACTCTACAGGTAACAGGTAATCAATACAGTTCGACAGAATACCACTATACTGCCCCGCCAGGTACACACAGGTATATAGAGAACCTGGTGACCCGAGGCTTTGATTTCAGTGAATCGGTCCAGAAAATCAACAGTGGCCGGTGAGTGATTTGAACGACGTGATTGTGGGATTAGGGTGAGTGAGGGAGGGAGGGGGTGAGGGAGTGAGTGAGGGAGGGAGGGAGGGGGGAGTAGGTCCGAGGGGAATAAAGGGTGGGTGGGTTGGAGGTAAGAGGTGGTGGAGGGATTAGAGCTAATGGAGAGATAGGTCGGTGAGGGATTGAGTGAGAGGTTATACACGAGTGAGGGAAGGAGTGAGAGGTTATACACGAGTGAGGGAAGGAGTGAGAGGTTATACACGAGTGAGGGAAGGAGTGAGAGGTTATACACGAGTGAGGGAAGGAGTGAGAGGTTATACACGAGTGAGGGAAGGAGTGAGAACAACAGAGAACAGCAGAAAACAACAATAGAATAAAGAACAACTAAAGAACAATCTATATCACGAAGGATTACAATAAATAACACCAATAGCAATAACAAAGGCCAAAATAACACTCACGGTGACGAAGAACTTGTGGCTGGGTTTAATGTTAATGGCCTGGTCTCTCTCAGTAGGGACATAGCGGTAAAACTCAGTGCCGTTGTGATACCATTTGAGGGAGTAGAGGCGGGTGGAGCTCAGGTCATAGGAACAGCTGAGTGTGGCTTGTCCCCCAGCGAAGGCGTACAGCGGCACGTCCACTCCTCTCAGTAGATCAGCCGCTGCACCTGTAAATACCACAATGTTTATTAGGTCTGTACACACACACACACACACACACACACACACACACACACACACACACACACACACACACACACACATGTTTATAAAGAATTGTCACCTGTATACATGTTTAGTGAGTAATACCACCTGTACATACATGTTTATTAATTAACAGCACTTATACACACGACACCTGTAACTGCATCTGTACCCTCGACATGAGTCCATTACGTCACAACACCTGTACACACAACAGATGCTAATAAAAATACGATGACCTGTATAATACTTGCATAGGGTGGGTCAGCAGTACAGGGTGGGTTAGTAGTACAAGGTGGGTCAGCAATACAGGGATGATATCACCGCCTGACCTGCTTGGGTTCTGTCGTGTTATTACTTAATAGTACTTCAATAGGTCCAAGAACGGATATTAATTTGCTTTTGGGTTTTGCCGTCAGAAGGGTAAGGGGGTGAAGGGAGGGAGGGGTGAGGGGAAGGAGGGTGAGGGGAAAGGGGAAGGAGGGTGAGGGGAAATGGAAAGGAGGGTGAAGGGGGAAAGAGAAGAGAGATAAAGGGGAGGAGTAAAGGTTATGAGAAGGAGTAAAAGGGAACGGGTGGTGAAGGGGGAAGGGGTGAGGTGTGAGGGATAAAGGGTGGGGGGATGAGAGATAAGAGGTAAGGGGGATATAAGGAGTAGAGGTAATGGTGGTTGTGGTGGAGTAAGGGGGAGGTGGACAGTGACAGCAGGTGGGTGGACACTGGACAAACTTACAAAAAGACGTCATCAGTTTGTGGTTGACGTCATCAGTTTGTGGTTGACGTCATCAGTTTGTGGTTGACGTCATTAGTTTGTGGTTGACGTCATCAGTTTGTGGTTGACGGCATCAGTTTGTGGTTGACGTCATCAGTTTGTGGTTGACGTCATTAGTTTGTGGTTGACGTTATCAGTTTGTGGTTGACGTCATCAGTTTGTGGTTGACGTCATCAGTTTGTGGTTGACGTCATTAGTTTGTGGTTGACGTCATCAGTTTGTGGTTGACGGCATCAGTTTGTGGTTGACGTCATCAGTTTGTGGTTGACTTCATCAGTTTGTGGTTGGGTCCGCCCTTGTGTTGGGTCATAGTGAACACGATAACTCGAACATGTAGCGAGGGATTTTACCCAAACTTAGTTGAGTGGGCATATCACAATTAGATCCCTGAGAGGTTTCATATGTTGTGTCATTAATGGTCAAAGTTATGGCTTTCTGGTCTCTGTTGGGATGCGACAGAGAATTTAATAACCTTCAATGATAATTTTTTACCTTTGTATATAAATTTTTAAAGTCTGATTTGATGTAATAGTGTTATCTTAAGTGTTATTAATGTGTATTGTAAGTGTATAAACGCTGTATCACTTCAAACTTCTTTTATAACAATGAATAATATCATTTATAGTTGATTTAAAAAGAAAAACACGAACTAAAAACTAAAAAAACTCGGTGAATTTATCATTTCTAAGATGTAACAATATTAAAAAAAAAATCCTCGAGTATATCTAAAAACAATATATATTGACTTTCTTAAGACAACTCTCAGCCAGATATTCCCTTCGCGTTGAGGTATTCCCTGTGTCTCCTACATGCACACAATATTCCCTTAATCCCCTTGGAAGTATATACGACCATCAGGCACCGCAGATAGATCGTATCACTGCATCTAACATAATTCTGGGTTATTCCACAGGTGTTCTCTACTGCAGGTGTCGCATAAACCACCCACCTGCCTCTAATTAATGACCCGCACCAGGTATGTATTGGTTTATGAGGGTAATTAAGTACAAAGAGACGCAGGTAATGACCAAAGATTTCCCTCCCGTTTATTGTGTCTTAATTCAGGTGATCAGACTAATAACATAATGATTGAGAGGTGTAGTTGTGTTGTTATAACCTGGTGGGTGTTGTAGATTAATAACTAGGTGTTGTTATAACTTGGACAACCTTGCATGATACAAATTACATTACCGATGCATTTGGCACACGCACACACACACACACACACACACACACACACACACACACACCTGTCCTCGTGATAACTAATGAGACGGCCTCTTCCTTATTCTCTATAGCTGCCATTTACCATCATGTCCTCTGTATCTCTCTCATATAGTGTATCATCATTCCTCCTTTCTCATCATCCTCTCTCCCTCCTTCTCCTTCTCCTGTCTCACCATCGTCCCTCCTCCTCCTCTCTCATTCACCTCATCCTCTTCCTCTTTCTCATCTTTCTCTCTCTCATGTTTCTGTAATTTCTTGTTCATCATGCACACGAGACAGACAGACAGACAGACAGACAGACAAACAGACAGACAGACAGACAGACAGACAGACAGACAGACGGACAGACAGACAGAAAGACAGACAGACAGACAGACATACACAGATTGATAGAGACATACACACACACTCTCAAATATTCACACGTTTAAACATTTCCAATAAATAAAATAAAATAAATCACAAAATACTATTAGATTTACCCCTAAAGTCTCTCTACCTTCGACTAGATACGATCCTTTAGTACAAACTGCTGAAGGTAAATTCTAGCGTAAACTATTTCCTTGTGAATCAGGAACCTGTTGACCTTATCAGACAATGTTGCCAATCACTCCGGCCTAACTCAGAGCTACAGGAACACCCTATACCCTGTTCTGGTAACACTGTTTGGTCCGGATAATCGAGTAATTTACGTTTCAAATCAATTTCCTCTTAAGCTGTTCATTTATTCTTTGATTGTATAATGTCTCGCCTCGTCTGGGAATCTAAAATTTGCTGGTTTCTGTTAGGTTAGGTTAGGTTAGATTAGGTTTGGTTAGGTCAGGGCATAACCCAAGCTGATGGAGAGAGGAGAACATGTCCCAGGAGGAGGAGGAAGAGAAGAAGAAGGAGGAGGCGGAAGAGGAGGAGGAGGAGGAGGAAGAGGAGGAGGAAGAGGAGGAGGAGGGTAATGTCACGGACCATCACACCGTGAGCACCAGTGACACAGCAAATCCATCTTATGCTACTGACCTCCTCAGCACAGTGTGTGTGTGTGTGTGTGTGTGTGTGTGTGTGTGTGTGTGTGTGTGTGTGTGTGTGTGTGTGTGTGTGTGTGTGTGTGTGTGTGTGTGTGTGTGTGTGTGACCTTGGCCTGTGACCTGTGCATACCAGAAGAGAGAGAGAGAGAGAGAGAGAGAGAGAGAGAGATACAATACGGGAATGAAACAATAGAAAAACAAGACAAACATACGGATAAACACAACTCGAGAAAAACAAACAGACTGATACCCCACACCCCCCCCCTCATCAAGAGCCTAATGAACCCCCCACACACACAAACCCAACTTCATCGTGAAATTAATAACCACTGATAACACTTAAATGACGTCACTTGGTAGCCTACTGAGGAACGCCACTTTATTACACCTGTAATATCCAATCAGCGTTTTATAATGAGGGCACAGGTTGGCCGGCCGTCGTGTTGTGAGGTAGGAGTGAAGCATGGTAGGTAAGGGTAACTTCCATGAGGTTTTGTACACCGCACTGATTTCAGCCAATCACTTTAAGGCTCCCAGAGTCTGGTAATTAGCGGAATGTTGTAATTATTGGCTCATGTTACACGCACTCCATCCAATTATTCGAATTATTTGTTTGAGAGATGATAGCGGCGTAGGTAGACTGGCTTCTTAATAAGTAGTAATATGAAGAGGAGGGACTGAGGAGCCGGAGTTGTTGTTTAATGGACGGCCACGACTGTGTTGCCTCAGCCAACATAATCAAGAGTTTTAAACACATAATAATTATTGGCTCAGGTTGCAAGTATTACATTTAATCATTCAAATTATTTGTCAAGGACCGATATCGCAGGTAGATTAATATAGTTGTTTTATTTACAGTGTTTTATATAATAATAAAAATAAAAATAATAATAATAATAATAATAATAATACTAATAATGATAATAATAAATAAAAATAATAATAATAATGATAATAATAATAATAATAATAATATTAATAATAAATAAAAAATAAAATAATAATAATAATAATAATAATAATAAAACTAATAATCATAATATTTGGTTTATAATGTACTTAACGTACATAATTAATCAAATAACTAAATCTGAAACACCAATTAAGTCTTACCTAAGAACGTGGCCCACGCGTCTGTCTAGTTACAAATGACAAGTATTGTATCTAATTATTCAAATGACTTATCGATAGTTGAGAAGCAAGGTTACCGGTGATGTAAGGAGGCGAGGGCGGTGTGTTGGCTGAAATATAAATACAACTGAATCTATATTTAATCACTGCTTCATGTTGCGTGTACTGGAGGTAATTATTAAGGTCATTTATAATTTACTGTGGACCTATAATACAGGTAGAGTGACTTGTTTCTTGTATATGAACATGAAGGTAAGTCATTAGCCTAGTCTTGAGCACAAATGATAGGATAGGTTAGGTTAGGTTAGGTTAGAAAGTAATTAGCGACTCCTGATGCCAGTATTGCATTAAATATTCAAACAATTTATCATTTACTGAAAAATAACACTACACGTTCAGTTATTTCTTTTTAATTCACTAAAACACATTAACTGTCTTAAACTTCCATTGAATTAGATGAATCACCCGTCTTCGCACCTCCCTACCAAATTGCAGCTGTCTTCAGATAATTACAAATTGATTAAAAAAAAAATTGCATATATTGTATCTAATTACCCAAACCACTATCATTCATTCAGACATGATAGAATCAGTAAAACAATTCTTACTTATATTCACCAAAATTACCACAATTTATTCAGTAACTACAGACATCAGTGTAACAGAACTGACATCTCATGAGGTAACTTTGACAGTCTTGTTCACTGTGTCTTGCCGAGAACCCTGAGATTAGTCTGGTCTTGGTACAGCTCGAGTGAGTCACACACATGTCCAGGAGTCAAAATATCTGTTTTAAGCATAGTGACACACCTGC